CACTGGTGGGCGGGCATTCCAGTGCCCCCCCCCCCCGGGGGCACTCTCACCCCACCCTAATGGACAAGTAGGGTGTGAACCTTCATGAAAGCACCATACAGTTAATTACCTGGTTCAAATCTCACATCTGCAGCCGTTTCTACACATTTCCAGGAATCGAGAACGTTCAGTCGCCCTACGATACTAGCTAACACAACTCCTTTTCTATTTCAGGTTAGGTATATTGTAATACAATAAATATAAAATCAGTATAATATAAACGATAAATCCAGAAGACCTTTAAGCATAACATTACATAAAAACAGTTTACAATGCCCCCAGCTTTCAGTTACTCTAAACTCTGGTACCGTTTTATCATTCACCTGCCTACAAGTGAACCTTTACAGCCACTTCTGAGACCGCCTGTCGAATTTTATATTACAGTAAATTACCTACAGTTCTGACCAAAATATGTCGGATAACCACCTCCATTTTACATGGTGATCTTTCAAACATAAAATGCTCAACTATGCCTCCTTCATTCGCAACAGAGTTCTGTATTATACGATCTCGATGTATAATCACAGCTGGCGCCAAGTACGCCTACGTTTCAGCGTAGAGCCAAATAAATAAGGCTTAAGTACAATATTAAGGTGCTATAGTGACAGTCGCACTGTAGCTTCACAGTTATTGCCTCTATGACAGACTTTGTCCAGTTGGTTTTACGGATGTAATTTTCACATCTGGAATTTCAATGAATCCGAGACTTTACTTCGCACTTCGTCACCTGGCGCCAGATGATGCTGCTAGTATTTCCGGAGACCATAAGACCAACTACAAACTGCTAATTAACAACTAAAATAAATTAATGGGCTAACAAATTAAAATAAAACACGTCTGACTACTTAAAACAATGGTAACGTAATTAAGTTTACTTGTTTTATTTAACTGGGTTTTTTTTCTTTGAGACATAAATATATTTTTTCTATACATTATGTAGATAATGTTACACATTTACATTTTCACATGGTAAGTTAAAATCAACATAAAACAGAGTCAACGCCTCAGCATATATAGGAATAAATATCACATTCGTCAAGCCACTTTTTATCTGATGTAAAGATTACAATACTGGAACATGAGTATAATCCGAAAGAAAAATGCGATTAACGATAAATCCATACCCAAAATGATCGTCTTATAAAAATGAGTTACAAAAATATCAAGAACTGTACCCATAGGAAAATACATGAACAGACGATTGCCTTATGATATTAATATATTCATTACAAAAACTCTAAACAATTTTCCATCTCAAGTGTTACTGCCTGAAAGTTACCAGTTACGCATTTCAACTATTTCGCAGAGGTCTGAGAACTATATGAATAATTGGAAAACAACCTAAAACTGCCACACCTAAATACAAAATTCCCATGCAACGACCATAAAGGCTGATATTTCTTCCGTAAGGCGCCAATTCAAAGTCCGTGAGAGGCTTCACTTATGCGGGCGGAGTGGCGATTAGCGGGGAAACACTCCAGTTAATTTAACCGCTTTATGTGATAAAGTCGCCAATTCTACCCGACTTGGCCGCAAATATCTCAAGTGCGCCCGCTACAATGGTGCCGAAACTGGAGCGCGTCGCTGTTTATTTAAAGTCTTAATAAAAGCCGCACACTTCAAGAGGCACTGAGACGAAACAAAACGAGTGGGAGTGCAGGAGGACTGTATTCTCTACGGCTGCATGGCTCATCGAGAATAAAATAATAAAAGGTTCACCTTCTTTGTATTGACCACTTACACATTTTTCTAATCTACTTCCTTTTTTAAAACTTATTACGGCCAATTTTCTCTTGGCATCAGCTTATTCAAACGGTATTTTTGTTAATAGCCTACTGGGGGAAACGAACGCGTTTGAACGGCCACTTTAAAGTTCGTCTCTAAGAAAACACGGATAAATACCGCGCTTCATGTTTACAAGCAAGCAAACCCAAATTTATGGGCTCTGGTAACGACATTCATACTTCCATAATTTGTCCGCAGTCTTGCGGAATGCGTGCGAAACGCAGGCAGACGTTTCCCTTAACAAAAAAAAATGTGCTCAAAGCTGAACCAATTAACTAATTATGATTTTAAAAAATAGCCGATTAAAAAAATTCTTCCCCTGTCATTACAAAAGTCTGCTCCAGTAGACAGTGAGAAGCGCCACTGCGTGTATCTGGGCGACTTGGTGCGATAACGGCGAAAAACCAGAGAAGGAGGTCGCAGCGTCCGAGCGCGTCTCCAGCCGGTCCGTTTTCGGGTCGTAGTCCTCGTCTTCGTACGTGTCTTCAAAGTCCCCGTACGACGTAGATAATCCCTGGTCCACGACGGAGCACAACCTGTCCATGTTCTCCTTCACCACCTCGCAGAATGGCCTCTCCACGCCGTCGCACACGCAGCGGTTCAGCAGCACGCCGCTGGGGATGAACAGCATCCTCTGTATTGTGCTCTTGCACTTCGCCGAGCATTTCCTGCCGTTAAAAAGCTGCCCGCAGTTGGACAGGTAGTCTGTCAGGGCGGCCTGGCAGTCAGGCTCCTCTTCGCATCGCTGGCGGGCCTCCGTGCACCCGATCCCGCCTGCATCAACTGGATACCTCCGGGGGAGGCACGGCTCGATGGCGCGTTTAGTTCTCCTGCACTGTACGTCTTGGCCGCAGTCGCAGGTCTCCAGGTCCGGCCCGTTGCGGGTTTGGTTGAGTCTGACCAAGGCGCCGATGCAGTGGCTGGGACACTGACGCCCGTTCCCCCTGATGTTCGCTTCGCAGGCGGCCAGGTACTGGTTGTACGCCAGTTCGCAGTCTGCCTCTTGCTGACATTTAAGCAGCGCTTGCCAGCAAATATACTGCGCGTGAAGGACCACTGACCAGCCCAGAAGCGCCAGGACGCTGCACCAAGTTTTCATCCTGAGATCCCGGGCTTCAGTCCGGCGATGAGCGAACCTGGTGCCCCCCCCCCCCCCCACTTTATTGCACTAAACTTTAGGTTATATAACAATTCCTATGCGAATACGCGTCCATGAACATGTCAAAGGACTGGACGGCATGCTGCTGCTACTTAGAAAAGCAAAGCAAGATCTGCCTTCATGGAGTCCTGGCTGGTTCCGTGCTTACACCCCCGTGGTCGAAGTTTCAGCGACTTTACTTAGACTCCTTTCGTCCCATAACAAGGCATCCCACCTTATGAATTTAAACCAACAAGTCCTCCACGGCTCTACTGGATTATAAACAAATTCCTCGATACTATTCCGATCGCTTTTTTTTTTTTTTAAAGGAGAAACAATGTAGGCACCCAAGCTCCGTCCGACATTCTCCACGTCCCGGATTCCTGTCCCTGCTATAACTCATCGATTTGTTTGGGTATTTCTGAAATACTCCCCCCGGGGAAACGTGCGTCTCTCCAGCGCCTTTCCCTCGCTGCCCAGCGTCTTTGTCCCTCTCGCTGTTACGCTTCACGCTTCGTTTAGCCTTTTCCCCTACGTGCCCCCCCTCCACTCCTTTCCTCTCCTCTCCTCTCCTCTCCTGCAAAACAGAAAAAGGAGAAGTTTGTCCTCCTGCCCCCCCCCCCCTCTCTCATTTACGGTCCCGTTAGACGATTGGCCGATGCTCCAAAATCCGTCGTGGGATACATTTCCATAGCAACTCCAGTTTTTGGCAAGCCGCGCGTCACATACAGGATAAAATGCTTAATTTTTTTTTATGTAACTCACAGATTGTGTGGTCCTTACTCGCAACGCTCTCTCCTTCTTCGATTAAAAGAAAAGAATGAAAAAAATAAAGAAAACTGAGAAGTCTCCAAATGGGAGGCAGAAGTCCCTGATGAAACATTCCACAGCTAGCAGCTCACATGCGCAGCTCACCGCATTAAATTAAAGCGCAGGAACAACAAATCTGTTTCTGTTTAGCAGTAAACCCAAGAGCAAACCTTCGGCACAGCTCTATACCATGACGTCCTTGCAAAATAAATTTTAAAAGACAGAATAACTACTGCCCTGCATTCCCCTCCCTTTCCCCTTCCGCCTCCCCCGCTCTCTTAATTCTGGCGAGTTTCTAAGCTCTGATTGATTGGACTGAATGGAAAAGAATAGTATTTTCTGGCCCGTTTCACCCTTTTGTGTCAGACTGGCCATGCAGTAGCCCTGCGTTTTTCCAGACCTAAGACTGTTCACGCCTTGCAGCCAGGGTATAGAGGAGGGGATCAGCATCAATATATTTTACAGCTCTCTCCATTCAAACCACACTTGAAAACTGCCAATAGGGACAGGACTTACTGCCATTGAAATGGTAAATAACTTGATTTTTTTCCCCCTCTGTAAGCCAAGGAAAAGCCAAAGCAACACCCGGGCCTTCTTGCTGTTTTATTGACCAAAATTTCAGACGGAGAAACCAGGGACGCATTTGTGTAGATGCAGGTGGCAGAGCGAATGTCACCGACTCTGCTACGTGACGACGGCAGGAGCCAGAAACACAGATGGCATTGTCAGCAATGCTGTGGTATTATTTTGTTGTTGTTGATGCATTCTGGTTGTAATTAATTTTTTTTTTATAACGGTTTATTGAGGAAAATGGCCAGGAAATAGCTTGAAGTTCTATTAGTCTCTATATCCCAGCCAGATTGATGCCCATTTTACTCGCTAAATAATTCCTGCCCTTCAGAATCCGTCTTCCAGTGCTCATTAGTTTTCTACATACCCCAACTTCCTTCCAGTGAAGGACCGAAATGGAAACAATTGCCAGAACTGTATAATCGCTTCTTGTTTATCGTCGCAGAAGACAGTACCGGCTATTGAGGTTGTTTATCAATTCAATAATTATTTTACATACATCTGTTGAGTTGTAGGCCTGCATACCAACAGTTCGCTGTTTTTACATCCATGGTTCGTAGGAAAGTCAGTAATTAGAAAAGTTTTAAAGATATTTAACTGTTCCAAATTACTATTTATTAAGTAGGCCTATATTCATAATTCAAAAATATTAGGCACATATTTTATTTATTATCAGAAAACAATCGTGATATCGAAAAAATAATGACTACCATCTGTACTATGCAGACAGTAGCCTAAAAATACGTAGGCCTATATGAACTGCTGGTGCATTAGATATTTAGACACTTCTCAACGGTAGAATGGTAAAAACAGTTAAATCCAGACTGATTTACGTGCTTAAACATAAAGACGCAAATAAGTTACGTTTATGAAGAATTAACCATGTTTTAACAATAGAAAAAAGTAATCTAATATGTGTTTATGTCGCCATCTGCCGTTATGTAATGATATCGACTTTTCCGTTTCAGCCGCGTTTTACAGACCTGAAAAATCGGTTAGGCGACGAACTCACTGACGGGCATAGATTTGAAACTGAAGCGGGAAAAGGGCGGACTTCATTTTCATAATTTTAACTGTCTTAGAAATTGAACATTCTAGATAGTTGGCAAAGGGTACATACTATACGTCCAAATATAAAATGCAGGGTTGGCGCCCCTGCCTTGCGCCTGTAGCCTTCGGGATAGACTCTGGACCCCGCGTGACACTGAATATGACGAGGGGTTCCAGAAATAACATGGGTGGATAAAATGCAGTGAACTATGCAATCAAATTGTGAAATCGTATGTTTCTCGTTCAGAAAAGCCTAATTAACTCGCTGTAATTGACAGATATGTGCCTTCCTAGTTTACGTGTTATGTGAAAAAAATATATTAGTGGCATGAAAATTGCAGATATTTGGTGAACAAGCATGGAGTGCTGCATGATTTAGTACCGAGCGCACTGGTCTTCTCCCAGTATAAGCTGCTCATAAATCGATTAGTGCTAACTCACTGCTAAGGTCTTAGCATCTAATAAATTCAATTAAACCACACCACCTTCTAAACTGTAAACATACAGATTAGTTGGCTATAAGTATACACACACACACGAGAAATAACAAGAAATCCCAAGTTGATATTCCTAGTATATCTTTATTGAGCTCAGGTAAGTTGTTCCAGATGATTAATATTGACAATATTAAAGGGTTTTTGCGATGCTTTTGGCTGCATGCAAAGCACAACCTGCACAAACATGGGCTTCAGGTCATTTTTAAACTATTGTTCCACCCCAAAGAGGCTCAGACATGACAGCAAGACCAGTAACTTCATAAAAATAAATCACTTAATGAGTGAATCAAAAATATATAAATATGTCACTACAAGTATCACAAACTGCACATTTTCATTACCTGCCACAGCATTTTACCAAATAGCCAATATTTTCAGAAATTGAAAAACAGTTACACCTGGGTGGTAATATTATGTACTATTACAGCTCACCTTCATCCATGAACACCCAGGGATTGTCTATCTCTTACTTTAACTAATTATACTTAGACAAGATGAGGATTTATTTTTTAAACTATTTTTTGTAACAACCGACACTCAGTATAAGAGAGGGACAACCTCACTGACTGAAAGCTGAACACACTAATTAACAAATGGCGATACAACAATGAACCATCAGCACAAGCACTCACCGTCGACATGGACAGAGAGATGGGCTTCGGGGGATGGGATCTCAGTGGGCAGTGACTGGATGACAGGTCACACAGCGTGTCTGCGGATCGCAGTGGGACCTGCCAACCAAGCAGTGGACTGCAGACACTGTCGGGTCAAAGGCTGCAGGCGACACACGTGCCCATAGCAGCCAACCTCCCAGCAAACACACTGTCACAGGGTCTCCCAACCTGGTCTGCAGGGACCCGCAGACAGTCCACACTTTTGGAGCTGAGATGGAGCAAAGAAGGCATCTGTGTGCCCCGAGGACAGGGTTGGGAAACACTGGACTGTCACACCACCACTGCAGTGTGTGGCAACTTTGATAATTTTGACCGCCTGATTAGATGAAGTTTGTTTCATTGACTTATTTATTTCTTGATTTTTCTGAAGTTTTTGGATATTTTCTCTGTGGACATTATATAACCGTGTTTGTGTATTCATGTGTGTAGGGCAAAATCAAGACACTGGAAAACAAAATACTTGTCTTTGTTCATGGGATTCCAGTGTATGTATGTGTGTGTGTGTGTGTGTGTGTGTACACAGACACGCAGACACACACACACACACACACACCTAGGATGTTGGCATTATGCTACTATGCCTCATATATCAAAAAATACAATTTCATTTCAAGATTTCATACACAAGTGTGTTAAAAAGATGAGCTTTGATGGAGTGGCAATCCTGCCTCATACCCTGTGTTCATCATAACATAGATGGATGGTTGGATGGATGGGGGTTTACAATGAATACAGTTTTCTTACTTGGATGCGGACATGCTTGACGTTACCCTGCTTGAGAGTGACAAAGTAATGAAAAAAGGAGGTGAAGAAAAATGGGATTGAAGTTAAATTAAATGAGGAAATGAGACTATTTTGCTCGTTCTGAACAGTTCCAGATAAATTCTTCACCAGACTGGTCAACAAAGCTATAATCTAACTCCTCGCTCTTTTTGTGTTTGTGTATTTAAATGGTTTGGCCTGAATGGCTGGTGTTTGTTGGTTTGCATGTAAGTTGACTTATGTGGTCACGTCTGTGTTGGTACCAATGACCGTCACCGGCAGTGACGAGGGTGCGGGAGGCGGGTCCCCAGGAGCCAGGGGGGAGGCGGAGTCACAGATCACATGACGTCACACTTCTCGGCCGAGTGCCGGAGGTCTTCCAGCGTGGACTGTGCTTTGTCCTTCAGCTGGTCCAGGTCTACATTCTGGATGTTGCCCAGCTGCCCAATGACTGACCGCTTGTGGGTCTTCTCCTGACTGTCCTCTGCGATCATCTTGGCCAGCTCTGCTGGCAGCTCCACTTCCTCCCCTGCTTGCTGGATTTGTGCATCATCCAATTCACTCTGACACAGAGGAGGGGGCAGGGGGGGGGGGGGGGGCAGAGACAGGGGTGGGGAATGAAGTGATTGCATAGCTTTGCGTTTCGGGATGCAGAACCATGACTTTGCCACAGAGCAACACAAATTATTTTTTAATCTTCTGGAAGGTTTGATTAGTAACCACTTTGCAATGCCAAGCCCTTTAAAGCACAAAACCTGGCATCACACAATGCAAATTAAATTGCTTTGGCAAATGTTTATAAATCGGATAAAAACATTTTAAAATGTGTGAGCATATACTAGCTGTTCTAACACTGCTCTTTTAGGATCTATCATTCTGCTCTTTTATCGTCTCTTTTAAAAATAAATCAGGCACATATCTAGTCACCTTTGGCAGTCGGTATTTATCCCGGAAGTGGGTCCTGACCGTGGCACGCTCTGCCTTCCGCTGGGCAAAGTTGGCATCTCTCTCCTGCCTGGGGGATGGGAGACAAGTCCCATGTTGGTGGTGGGCTGGCTGAACTACACATTAAAAAACACCCACACTAATACATAATTACACACACCCCCACCCCCCCCCCCCCCCATCTCACACCTTTTAACACAATCGCGACATACACGCCCAGCATGTGACGTCAACTGTTACAGAGTGTGAGTGTTATATCAAGACACCTATGCAAAGGGGGGTGAAGCGATCGTACCCATGTGACTGAACACGAGCAGCACTACTGAGGGTCTGAAAGCGACGCTGCTCTCGAACGTGTGGGTGTCTGCTAAGGGGATAATCCCGTCTCCATCACCTTCCTCCCGAGCAGGCAAGGCTGCACTTGCAGAAGCTTCTTAGCTCAAGTGCCGTTCGGCTACCCCCCCCCCCCCCCCGGAGATTAAAGTGCGGGATTTAACCATCACTCAATGGACCTTCAGCATTAGCCAAATAGTACGTCCCGGTGACATTGGCCCCCTCATAATTATCATAACCATTAAATAAGATCGTCTCATAATAAGCACAGATCATGCTGTGTTTTTTTTTTTAACACTTTTCCCGTGAGGGTTAATGTGTGCAGGTGGGTGCAAAGGCATCGCCAATGAGGTACGGCTCGTAGACTCCTGTGAGACCCTGTCTAATTCACACCGTCAGCCTCCCCATGATGGAAGGCTGCTAAGGTTAATATTATATAATATTCTTCCATTAATGTGAAGGTTTTGTTCAAAGTTTCATCCTTGTATAAAGATTTTTTCTTTGACAATTTAGATACATTACCTTGTTCAAGGGTACAACAGAAATTCCCCAGAACTACCTGGTTTCAAGGCCGTGTGTTTAACCACCATGCTTGCTGTTGTTCATCTTCTGAATGGCTCGCCTAATATGGGACAGTGTCCCAGGGATTAACAGTGACCAGCAGGGGTGACAAGAGTAGAAGTAAGAGTAGTCCGCCAGTCCTTGTTATAAACGTGCCCCTGAAAGTGTTGGCCTGCAGAGAGTGCTGCTACACACAACTTCGGCCAGCATTGGCCATCCCGGTGTTAAGGAAAATCAGGCTGGCGAGCAAGCATCTGATAAACGCCCCCTGCTGCCCAATGAGCGTAACTAAGTGTTGCTGTCAGCTGAATGGAACCGGCAAAAGTTTCAAGGAGGAATAGGCAGTGTGAGGGAAAAAAGAGGTTACAAAAATAATTACTTCACCAACAGTTTGTTACAAGACAGACCCTCTGTTTATGCAGCAAAAGCTCAGATAACCAAAGACCCGCCCAGACGCAGATAATCCAATGGCAGCCAGCCTTAAGGATCCTGCTACATCCTGTATCCCCAGCTTCCTCAGTTCCATCACCCCAGAACTTACAGTGCATTACTGTCCATACTATGTAGGTGAAAATTTAACCTCAAAACTTTTTTTTTTCATATCAAAACTATGAATTTTGGTCTTTGTGCCAGCAGGGGACAGTATGGAGGCCGCTTGTTGTACACTCACAGACTGACAGCGAGCCGTTATCCAATCAGCACATAGCTGGTGTTTCTTCAGGAGCCCTTTATTACACCTCTGGCGCCACACTAGCTACCCAGTATGTTAAAGGAGCGTGTAGCTCAGTGTAGCTCAGCGCGCCGCCGATCAGATTAGCGGTGCCGCGGCTGTGAGCTCGCACACCCAAAGCCATTAGCGCGGGCTTGTGCTTGATGGCACCCACCATTTCTGAGACTGAACATGTCTAGAGAAGGAGATGTACAGCTGTCGTGTCATTTAAAGAGGGACTTTCAGGGATGGGGGCAGTGATAAAGTACAACAACAGTGCATGAAAAAAAACACCTCTGGAATTAAAGTCGGAAACAAAGAAAATTTCTTTTTTGACCTCTGTGCTTAAACATTGTGTATTAAAGACTTACGTTTTTAGCTTTTCCACTTCAGTAAGGTACACAGCACCTTGTTGTTCATCCATCCATCCACCCACCCACCCATCCATTTTCTGATACCGCTTATCCTATTCAGGGTCGAGGGGGATCCAGAACCTATCCTGGAGGCTACGGGCGCAAGGCAGGGAACAACCCAGAATGGGGCACCAACCCATCTCAGGGTGCAGCTTGCTGTCTTAACTAGAAATTCAGTGTTAGAGGATAGAGCAGTTTATTAACTAGCTGTTTACCTTTTCTAGAAGTAAAATCTGGACGATATAAAAAGCAGAGCAGGTCACGTCGCCCTGTGAGTGAAGGTCACAGGCATCACAGTCTGCTCCGTAGTGCATCATGTAATTACACTTCAGCCTTTCTTATCTAAACCAGTTTTTTTTTCAAATTGGGATAGATTGGTATGTACAAGTGCAATGGAGGGTTATATAAATGACAAGTCAGAAAGGTTCTTCAAGAAAACTCTTTTCTCGGTCGTGTTATTTTTAGGACAGTAACGCACAATTGCCAGTGTTAATTTAACAAAGAACCGAATTGCATAGCACTCACCGTTAAATGAAACCGTTTTTCTCATTGTCGTGTCTCTTACAAAACGTGGTCGGTTCAAAAGAAATATATGTTTGGAACCGCAATTTACTCCACACCTTAGACACACTGCGTGATAATGAGCGGGGCTCCATCTCTCATAACCTTGGATTTCACTGCAAAGAATCAGATCAAATTTGTTTCTGGATGCAATTGTAAAATCAGGAGATATCATCAATTATCTGCATAACTGTTATTTAGTCCATTTCTGTCTGAGCTAAAAATATTACATTTAAACTTAAGGTCTTAAAAAATTGTTTCAATAATTCAAGCTGTAGGATAGCGGAAACGAATTGGAAAATATTACTTATTATTTCAATTGGGTTTAACTAATGAATTATCGTGGGAAAAAATGAAAACGATATTAAAGGCACAGATTTTCAAACTTGAAATAAGTGATACAGGTTGCCTCCATAATTGCATCTCTCTTTAGGTAGGTTATATTAATTTAAATCAGAATTGAAAACATTAATAGACGAACTAGCAACGAGACAGACTAAAAAGAAACGAAGAATAAGAGATATATCGGACTGGAAACCGTCCTGTGCGCGCAGCAGCTGGTTTAAGTGAAGGCGGTGGATGACTGGGATGGAGAGACTGGGGCAGCGGGGCAGATCGCAGCGGGACTCGGGAATTAACGCACCACATGCCTGAATATGCATCCATCCACAGAACGCGCCCACAGATCAGCTTCCGAACCCCCACTACGCGTAAAATACATCGCATCTCAGATTAAGTAACTATCTGCGTCCTTACTTTTCCTCGAGCAGCTGCTGTTGGTACTGCTCATACTCCTCTTCGGTCATCCCTTTGGAACCGGCTTCGGATTTCTCACCGTCCGATTTGTCGTCCCCCAAAGTGCCGGTCAGGTTCTTCAGCTGTCCCCCCACCATGTGCTTCACCATGAAAGCCATCGCCCCGCCGTCGAAGAGCGCTCGGGTCCAAGATCTGAAACGGCTCCTTCTTGGTACCGAAACTGTGAAAGTTGTGTTAATTCAAAAGGTGATTATTTTTGGAGTTTCAACAAACGTGCAGAATATACTGTTCCCCAAAATAAACCTATCCGTCCTGTATAACAGGCGAGCGCTTCTAAGCCCGAATGAACGGACAGCTCCTGTAGATTGAGAGGTCAGGTAATAGACTGGATTCCGGCGCTACAGAGACGAGTCAACAAGTTTCTTTCTCTTTCTACAGCCAGTCCCGTTTGTCTTTTCTCAGCCACACATCCCGCCGGATCAAGCTATCGTCTGTGTGACGCCAGCCGCACGCACGGCATCCCGTGACTCGCCTCCTGATTACAACTTGCCGTGGATGCAGATCAGCATCTCCCGCATCCGAAAAGGGACCGAAGCGGAGACAGGGACACGTGACGTGTCAGCGTGCGTCCCCGCCATACATCCATCTCCCTGGGACCGGAGCGCAACTGGATAGTACGCGGATTTAAGTACACATATATGTTCAACAAAGACGCTTTATAATTTCATGACAGAGAAAAGCAATCTAAATCGATTATAATTTTCACCTATACACTTTTGGGGGAGTGGGTTCGGCACTGGCCCACTTTAACACTGCACCTGAATAAAACTGACTGGTCAGTGTAGTGTTAAGAAATACCGGTCCTGGATCAGGCTGTTAGGAGCGGTTGTCTGCTGTTCAGATGGAACATTCCTGCGGGCAACGCAGTGTGTAATTGCATTAGCGGGGAAAGTCTGCGTAAACCTCAGCAAACATTTGCCAGCGCACCTCAGCGTGTGGAGCCTTTCTGCCCCCTACCACAGCCCGGCTGCGACCAGCCTTCTGCCTGCTCATGTTTGTTTGTGGTTTCCTCTCATTTAGCCGTGCAGGATTTCACAAGGATTTAAACATGTTGACCCTATTAAATCGCACATAACTCATCAGCGAAAGGGGGCATTTGCGCAAAAATTCGTGTCAGACCAAAATAAGCAAAAGGCATGAATAAAAATGGAGCAGAGACGGTCGATATGGCTTGCATTATCATAGCAACTGTGACCAAGCTTGTCCCATTTAACAAAGATAGAAGAAGCAGAGGTGTCAACGTGCTGAGTGAGGTTATTTCGTTACCTTCAAGCACATTAAAAATTCGACGTAAATTGAATTTCGGCTTCATGGGTGATGAGAATAATGAAAATTACATCTGCGAGACGCGAGAAATGAAAGCACCAGGGGAAACATGCTGTCACATGAAGCCCCGACCTCAAAGACCAGCCTGCGGATTAAAGCGGGGCATGTCTGCTTTCCTTTTTTTTTTTTTAAAGATCGACGAGGCAGCGACAGCCACTCGTGACGTGCAGTATCCCCCCCCCCACAGCTGCGTATTATGGCGACATGCATGTCACCGACGACAGTATAAAAGATCACGTGGTTTAAGTACATCCTTAATGTATACATTTGAGCAGGACTGTTTATAATCATGTATAATAATTAGGGAGGCACGTTTTTTTTGTTCCCTGCATCCGTCCATTATCTAGTGTTGGGTCACAGCGAACCCGGAGCCCAGGCTGTACAGGGCACGATGCAAGCAGCAGAATAAAACTCCGCTCGCTGGCACGGTGGAATGGGAACGGTGGCTTTAGTTGTCTTCTGCTCATAACAAATGGTGCTGTGAGTGAACTAGTAATGCATTTGCATAGAAGTTTAATAATTATTTTTAAGTTTCACGATTTGTAAAGGTGGGACAAATCAACAAGTAGCTCACCTTGGGACAAGCCTCTTAAATTATTCAATAAGCTAACTAGTCCATCTGCACCAATATTCTTGTGGGTCCATGCACACTGTGGTGGCAATACCTATGTATGGAGTATGGAGTTTGGAGTCCCCCCCCCCAAAAAAAATCTAAACATGGAACACAACTGAAATACAGCATCAGAAACATTCCCTTTAACAAGGGAATGTTAAAGGGAATGTGTTTGGCAGTGCATAAACATATACATCCAAGCTGCTTATGGAAGGAATATGGCTTTCAGGCATAAGGGATGTGCATTTCTCATTCAAATACCTGGTTGCACTGGGTGAAACAGCACTTTGAATTATGCAGACTTCAGTTACTGACATCAAAACACTGTAATGTTTCACTTAAAACCATCCATCCATCCACGCATCTATTTTCCAACCACTTATCTTTGGGTGGACTTGGAACCTCTTCCAGACAGTATTGTGTGCGAGGCAATGGTACAGCATGCCTGTCTAATGTAGGTTGCGCACACACACACACACACACACACACAGGTTTGTAATTATACCTTTGTGGGAACTCTCGGTTCATTTCTATGGGTAAAACCCTAATCCCAACAGGACGACCTTAACCACTGCCCAGCCCTAACCTTAACCACAAATAACCAAACAAAATACGAGACTTTTTGCATTTTTAGTTTTTTTCTTATTGCATTCACAGATCTTTGTGTGGACCTGAAAAATGGTCCCCACAACGTTAAAATAACAGGTTTTTATTGCATTGTGGGGCATATTTGGTCCCCACCATGTAAAGTAAACATAATCCACCCACACACACACACACACACACACACACAGACAATCACAGGCAATTTAGTGACACCAGTTAGCCTAACTGCATGCCTTTAGACCGTGGGAGGAAGCCCACATGATCCAGGAAGAGCATGCACAGTGCCTGTCCCCCCCCCCTTCAAACAAGTGTTATTTATATAGGGATTGGCAGTAAAACAAACCACTGCATTTTAAGTGCTAATTTATCATGCTAACAGCAGATTCGGGTTATTATAACATGGCCAGCAGGCACATGCATAAACCACGGGCATGGAATCAGGGGACACCCCCTCGGCCATTAGCCGGAACAACCGGCGGGCAGGGCCTGCAAGACCGAGCGTCCGCGTGTCCTTCAAATCAGCCAGCGCCCGTGGCATCTCCCCCTCCTCCACTGGACTCACTGGTGTTGGACTGTGCTGTGACAGCAGCCCGTAGAAGGGGGCAAGACATTGTTATTTGTGTGAGGAATATTTACCAAGTGGGCTTGAGCACGGTCAAGGGCTTCCCCAATGCTCTCAGAAGGTGATGTGGTAATAAGATGGATGGACGGAAGTACTTACCTCAATGGTATAACAGCAGTTCCCATCCCAAGATATGCACAAGCAATAACTAGGCTGAGGTATTTTTGCTGCTGATACGCAGACTATCTACACTGCACAAATAGCTCAGTGCAACAGAGGAATCCCACCCTAGTAACAGCATAGCTATGGATGTCTGAATGCAATTCTGTGACATTTTCACCCTGCAGAGACGCTGTAAAAAGGTAGTAGGGGGGACAGGATGATTCCAAGGGCCCCTGATTGATAGGACCCTGAAAAAATCTGGGAATATTATTTGATTAGTCTGGATTCTAGCAGCCTAGCAGCACTCCTACCTGCCAAGATACCAGACTACTATAGCTGGGGGTTCAGGAGGGGATCACAGAAGGTCGGGGTGATTCTCAGGAATTGAGGGCAGGGCAGGGAGCCTGGCCTGTGATTGTCAGAGCTGAGTGACTGACCTGGCTCCACAGCCGGTTGGCCAGCAGTTAGCGGTTAACAAACACTGCTCTATCGCCACGGGTCGGTGAAGCCACCTGCCATGCCGGGCTGCCAATCACATACTGCCTCATCACCTGGAAGCCTCAACCCAGACCCGGTCTCTCACCACTCCGCAGCGTCCGAACTTTGACAGTGGTATTGGGGTGGTCCCCTGCTGGGGCAGGAGGGGTGTCAACGATAAATAAAATTTGTCAGTCGGGGTAGTTGGCAATGGCAGAGGGTGTCAGCTGGGGGGGGTGGGTGGTGCTGATTCTTATAAGGTGGTCATTTCAGGGGGACCCACCCCCCCTCCTCCAGGCGTATTTTGCAAATAATTTCAAGTGAAATGTAGGAGGTGCAATGATAAGTGTTTCCTCTGATTGCTCAGATGCTTCACAGATCAGTAGTGCTCGTGTACGGCTCGGACACCACAGCGCCCCCTTGTGTCACCGTCTCTCAGCGCAGACAGGGCAGCAGCTGGAGTCAGTCGAAAGGGCGTCTCCAAATTCACCAGAGCGCACATGGCTTTTCTTCAGGCAGAGCGGAAGGTGAGTTACATAATGGGGGCGGCGGGGTCTGGTTTGAGCCAGCTCCGGGGTCGCCTCGCCTCTCCCCCTCCCGCGCCGATATTTACCGAGGCCTGGGCAAATTTGTGAAGTACAAAGGGAGAGTGCTGGCCATAATTAAATGGAATTTGATAACCGGAAAATGCTCTTGCAGCTGAGTGACATGAGACAAAAAAGGGTGGTGGTGAGGGGGGGGGCTCATTCACTCAGGGTCACAGCCTGGGACACGAGGCTTGGTAAACGAGCCGGAGGTCCATTAATATACGGGGGCTGAGTATTTTCAGCACATCACGGAACGTCTCGGCGTTCATAATCCGCCGAGTCGGAGATGTGTGAGCGCGGAAAAGCCAGTCGTGTCTGGAGGCAGCTTCTGGAGAGAGACGCGATTCTCTCAGGACCAGATACCCGCCCATTATCTGAGCTGCGAAGGTCCTTCGCATTATACAACAGCAGCGTCTTTTCCCCGTTAATTTGAGTCTGTCATCTGGCGCCGTCCGCGAGCCAAGTCCAGAGCTCGCGCCCCCCCCCCCCTCCGCTGCTGAAGCCGCCACCGAGCAGCAGACACCCACACGGCCCAACGCGGCAAGTGCATCTTTTCACGTGGGGGCGGTGTGACGTACAGACCCCCCTTTCGACACCTCCACCGTGAACGTGACCTCCTGTCAGCCCTTCAGAACACGACGCAAAATGACTCTCCAGCGACTTGCCAGCGAAAACATGGGCTGACAAACAGGGGTGTCGATTCCAAACCTTCAGGAAAGAAACCCAAATAAACCGTCTGGTGTTGTGAATTAGCCGGGAATCCCTCACACGATTACACATCGCGGCTCTTCATCAAGCTACTGTCTGAGAGCGGAAACGCCCTCAGA